AATCATGCAATACATGCAACTCATGACAGATATCCATGCATATCAATCATCTAATGCGTCGTCACGCATACACCTAGGAGATCTCCATAACAATAGAGCTGTATAAGTGACATTCCATCCTACCGAAACCACCCCAACCGTTTTCACGCCCAATGCGCCCGCTCGGTCACAGCTAAACAGGATATATAATCCTCACTCGGGTTTACTCGGATGATGTCACTTACACACTTGGAAGTCCAGATCCACCGTCAGGTATAGCACAGCTGGGTACGGGCTTACCACGACCTTGGCATGCATTAACCAAGTCAATTGTGGAGTTCGCCCACCGACTATCCGCAAGGATCCACGCACCTTCCCGAGTACTTGGTTAAGGGAATAACCCTCGACCTCATACCCCGCTCCAACACTAGCTAAGGACTTAGAGGAGACTCACCCAACCCAGTGGCCTATCTGAGCACCACTCTCCCAAATCCAGTGGCCTCCCAGAGCACCACTCTCATATATCAGTGGCCTATCCAAGCACCACTCTCAAGAGACTCTATGTGAGCTCTTCCAGTTCGAAAATATTTTTCCTCTCCTCAAGTCCTAGGCTAGACTCATGCCATAAGGCATCACATGCAATCATGCATCATACATCATATATGGTCTGCCCACCATAATGATCAACAATCATACACATGTCATAAGACATCACATGCAATAATGCATCATACATCATACATGGTCTACCCATCATCATGATCAATAAACATACTCATGCCATAAAGCATCACATGCAATAATGCATCACACATCATACATGGTCTACCACCATTATGATCAATAAACATATAACATATACACATGTCATATCATATTCAAACATTCATATATATCATCACTATGCATACATATGAATCACACATCACCATACATCATATATCATACATACATGATCCAAATCTTCAACTTTAAACATGCATAAGCATCAATTATTTCTAAACATATTCACTCTCGGCGCAGCCTGAACTCGCCCAGCCTAATCTCAACCTGAGAGTCCTAAAACTCATCCACACCTGGCGCGTTCAACTCACGCTCGGTGTCCTTGAGACAGAGACTCCTAAGGGTCTCCACGCCTGACGCAACCAAATCACGCCTAGCCCAACATCCAATCCGAGAGCCCTAAACTCTTCCATGCCCGGTGCGCTCAACCTGCGCCCGGCCTAAAATCTCAGTCAGAGAGTCCAAAACTCTCATCCAAACTAACAAATTCAGCCACATACAAACACAAAACACAAAGCATAGGCTCTATACGACTCAAAAATAGAATTAAATCTCTCATGCATCCATATTATGCATCAAAATCATCAAAATCCTCCTTTTTCTCAAAACCGCAAAAATGATATTTTCTTCAATCCATTTATGGATTCTCAACATTCATGCGCCTATTGAGTTTCTAAACTCACATGCAACCTAAACAACAAACATTCTAGCTTCCCTCACCTGAAGATTGGCTCAGATAGCCAAAAACTGACAAGAAGTAAAATTCCCCTTTGTAGCTCAACCCGGAACTTCAATCTACCCAAAGCAAGCTTTCTAATCTGAATTTCAAGAAATGACAGAAGGCATTAGTGGTCTAGAGGGGAAAAGGATTCATACAGAGAAATTTGGGAGAGAAAGGAGCTCACAGACCCAGAGACCTTCTCTTTAAAACTTCTCTCTAGAAATCTCTAATTCTCCTCACGACCCACATCCCTATTTATAGACTTTCCGGATTGGCCAGAATGGCATGTACCGATACCGGAACGGCCATTTCTGAACTGCTTCGTCAAGTGAAAAAAACTCATGCAGAACGGCCCGTTCTGGGACTCATCCAGAACGACCCGTATTGCATCTTGAACGGCCAGTACTCCCTTCCAGAACGACCCGTTCTCCATCCAGAATGACCCGTTCTCCAACCAGAACGACCTGTTCTCCAACCAGAACAGCCCGTTCTCAACCACGAATTACAGGCCAATTTAATAGCTTGGAACGACCCGTTCCAGATTGGGAACGGCCCGTTCTGGGCTATTAAATCACCTATATTAGGCTTCTTAAGACAACTTACTACGTTACACACATAATGTTCATATAATATCCTAACACGCTATACAACTCCACAACACCTTTACCAACATACAACTTATCAACATTCAACACCTAAAGTTCCTTATCACACAACATCTCTACAACTTATTCATCATCATCTAACAATAATACAACTCAAACAACAAGCTTTAAACATATAAGTCATTCATCAAGCAAACAACCAACTCATTTGGAAAAGAAATTTATCAAACTAAGTTTCCACGCTCAGCGCAGAAACTCACGCTCAACCTCAGCCTTCCAGAGGCACAACTCAGCTCCCACGCTAAGCCTAGAATCCCACGCTCAGCGTGAACCTTCCAGAGACACAACTCACTCCCACGCTAAGCCCTAGATCCCATTCTTAGCCTCAGAGTTCTAGCAGCATTGACAAATTGTCATGCGAAGCGTGAAAACTCACGCTTAGCGTCCCAAACCCAGAAAATTCATACCAGTACATGAACAACTCAAATCTCCCAACCCTCTCAATCTATGAATTGATCAAGACATGCAACCCAAAATACTTCAAGAATTGACGCCAGACAACTCAGAAAATCCAAGAAGAACAACATGCATTCACAAAAACTCAAGAAGATCATCAAATTTCAATCTTGCCTCAAGAACAAAAAAATCCCCAATTTCCACACAAAACCCCTTTGAATCCTTCCCACATTTGCATATTTCACAAATATACCAACAATAATCTTCAATTCATTTAATAGCATCACATTTTAAACTCAAAATCTCAAAATCTAAGCTTCTTTTACCTCGGAAAGGAGTGAATGACAAACTCCTCACGACTTTGAGTTTGAAGAAGATAAAGAATGGTTGATGAACAACCCTGGTGCTCACCACCTCAGCCTTGGGAAAAAGGAATTAGAAATCAAGGTTTAGAGACTTGAGAGAAAATGAAAGTAAAGGAGGTTTCACAGGTCTTACAAAATATATGTATGTCATTAATTTTTTTATTATAATTTAACTATTTGACAAAAAAAAGTGATCCATATGAGAATGGTATGAGATGATGTGCACACATGTTTTGTTTTGTGAGAAGATAATCAGGTCGCTGATAAGATTAAACATGAGTCTTCTTTGTCAGAAGATGTCCAAATTCTTTTTACTCCTCTTCGTTAGATTCAAAATTATTTTTTGCTGAATGTTCAACTGACATTCTTTAAAAGGTTCTAATTTGGGCGTTTATCCCTTTATTGTAAAAAAAAAAAACTCTTATTATAATTTCTACGAATTTGTTATATGTGTAATTTAAATATGTTTTTGGTTTTTGAATAATATTGATTTTAATTTTTAAGAAAAAGTTTCCTTTACTTTTATTTTTTAAAATTTAAAATAACTGTTTTTATAAAATGAAAAAAAAATTAATTTCTATATTTTTAATTTCCAAGAATAAATATAAAAACATTTATTTTAAAAATTTAGAAAAATTTAAAGAACTCGTTAATATGATGAATCATATACTAACGAGTATCATTTATAACAATTACATAGTTTTGAGATTAATTAGGATAATATGCAGAGAGTTTAACGTTTAAATCTCTTGTCGTTATAAAAAAAAAACGCTTGAATTTGTCTTAAATATAAAAGCAGATAATAAAAAATATTTTTTTAATTTTCAACAAATAAAAAATATTTTTAATATAAATTAAATAAAAATTTTATTTATTTTATTAAACATAAAATATATCTTAACTCGTAACAATGAAGATTTTATCGCAATTTTCTACGTGGTGAGACGCGTGGCATCTAGAATTTGCTAGCGTGTTCTTTTGATAGCATCGCATCGACCATCAACATCATATCCACCGTGTTATTCTGCCACCTGTTCCTTTCTTTTAAGCAACATTGACATGTGTTCATGCCTTTACAGACACCCCAAGTAAAAATTAAATACATAATTTTGAAAATTAAACATATTTTTAGGATTACATGCACCTCAGCTTGGGTTAAATTAATATATATATATATATATATATATATATATAGATATTTACTTATTTAAAAATTAAAACTA